CCATGTAGCCAATAGTACCCAAAGTCTTGGTATGTGCTATTAGCGTCTCAGCTGTTAGAAGTTTGGATATCCCAAAGTCACTCACTTTTGCCACCATATCTCCATCCAAAAGTATGTTACTTGGTTTCAAATCACAATGGATGACTACAAAAAAATGACCTCCATGTAAATACTCCACAGCAGAAGCCACATCAATCATCACCTTTAGTCTTTGAGTTATATCCAAAAATTTGTCAGTAGAGTGAAGCCAACATTCGAGATTTTCATTGGGCATGTACTCTAGCACCAACACTTTATAATCAAAATTGGCACAACTACTTATCACCTTAACAAGGTTTCTGTGTCGAATGCTACGTAAAACTTGACATTCCACTTCAAAACTCCTAAATGCATTTTGCAGTTCTGTATTGAATACCTTTATTGCGACAACCATTCCATCTGCTAGTGTCCCTTTGTACACCAAACCAAGGCTCCCCCTTCCAATCAAGTTTGCTTCATCAAAGTTGTTTGTCCCTTGAGAAATATCATAGTACGAAATCCTCTTATGTACCTGACCAAATGTATCAACTAGAGGAAGTTCCGTACTCCTTTTTCGGCATTTCAGAAACCAAATGATGAAAATGGTTGTGACTACAACTCCTGAGGAAACTGATGCAAGGACAGAAGTTAAGACTCTACTCTTTCTTTTGCTTTCAAGACTTGTGACTCTGCATTGCATCACATGGAAGCGTGATGATCCACATAATGCAGGGTTACCCATGAATGATTCAGCTGTAAAATTTATGAATGGCCCTCCATCTGGAATTTCACCCATGAGCCCATTGAACGAGACATTGAAATACATGAGATGTTCAAGATTCCTCAAGGACTTGGGGATCATGCCTGTTAGATTGTTGCTAGATAGATCCAAATATTCCAATGAAACCAAATCTTCAAATAGTTCAGGTATAGGACCATCTAACATATTCTTTGACAATGAAAGGCTAACCAAGCTTTGTAGTTGGCCAATCGTGCTAGGAATCTGACCTGAGAACTGATTGCCAGATAAATCTAACATCCGCAAACTCCTTGTGTTTCCCATTTCTACTGCAAGAGATCCATTCAGCAAATTGGAGGACAAATCGAGAACTGAAAGATCTTTGTTTCTCCAAAATGTTGATGGAATATGGGAAACTAGTGCATTGGAATCTAAGTAGAGTTCTCTTAAAGAAGAAATATTTCCAAAGCAACTTGGTAATTCCCCAGAAAGTTGATTTTTGCCCAAGATAACTTGGTACAAGCTTTCCATGTTACACAAGCTAGTTGGTATAATTCCATCTAAATTGTTTATCTGCAGGTAAAACTTTTGCAAATTCTTCAAGTTCCCCAAATCTGGAGGAATAGAACCTATAAGCTTATTCTCTCCCAAGCTTAACCACTCCAGGTTCCTAAAGTTACTGATGTTAGTTGGTATTTTTCCTGTGATACCACTATTGGTGGCAATGAAATATTCAAGGGAAAAGGACCAGTTGCCTGATCCCAAGGACTTTGGAAGACTTCCATTAAATTGGTTACCTCCTATTTGAACTGTCTTCAAATACTTGCAATTAGATAATGATGTAAGAAAACTTAACTTGTCCGTAGATGGATCATTCGTCAATTGATTAAATTGCAAGCTGATGAATTGAAGCTGTTGTAGCTTTTCAAGATTCATAGGTACAGGTCCACTAAACAGATTGCGACCAAAATCAAGCTGGATAAGCTTGGTGGAATTCACAATGGAGGTAGGAATCAGCCCTGTAAACTGGTTGTTCCCAAGATAGAGGCCGACAAGATTTGGAAGGGTATGGCCTATGTTTGAGGGAAGTGTTCCTGAGAGCCCATTTCCTACAAATGAAATCATTGCTAATCCAGAAATGTTGTACATAGGCCCTGGAACTTCACCCGATAATCTGTTTTGACCAAGAAACAATCCTTTCAAATTTACAAGATGTTTAAATTCTAGGGGAATGCCACCATGTAGACTGTTCTGACCTAGGTCTATCACCTCTACATTTGACAAATTTCCCATACATGGTGGAAGAATTCCCACCAAATTGTTCCGTGGTAGACTTAATCTTCGAATTGCTGATAGGTTATCAATTTCACTTGGGATATGTCCTGTAAAATATATATTAAATTGTGTGGTTACAACCCTAAAACGTACAATATTGTGTAAGAGAATTAGAATCACGGATAGTTCGGCAATCCTTGTATTCTGTTTCAACGTCCTCTTGAAGACGAACAATAACAAGCCTAGGAAAGGTTTTCTGTTAATTAGGGCATTTAAATTTTAAATATTGGCAACATGAGAACTATTCATTTACTTCTGCTATTCTCTTTTCCTCTCTTCTTATATGGTAACTGAAGAAAGGAAGCTTAAACTATTTGATCGTCAGTCAATTATCTATATTAAGATGGATATGTGAGTCACTTGAGATGAGACATTAGAAACTACCATGGTTAGTTCAGTCTTACATGGATCTCTAGATGCACTGGTCTGCAGGTATGAAACTATATATGGTGATTGGATTTGTTAAAAAGGACAAGGTAGATCTAAAATCACATGGGAGGAAGTTGAAAGAAAGACCAACTATAAGTTAGAATCCATTTTGACTCAGTGAAAAGTAGAGCAAAATGGAATGGTAAGATCCATAAAGGTGATACCAACTAGTTGATATTAAAGCTTAATCATGTTGGTACCTCCAACTTACTCAATGTTCGCTAGGATGCTTTTAATATTGTTAGATATTTGTATGTTAACAGAAAATATAGAGAAATTTTAATGTTAGAAAACTTAAATTATTGAACCTTGAACTGAGATGGGGACTAAATGGATTAACGCGGATAATGAGGATTCATAAAGTTGACACAAACTAGCATTGAGCCGATGTAGTAGTAGTCATTGTTGTTTGAAAATGAATAACAAGGAGCTATATGAACATTTTTTGCTACTACTACAATATCTAATTAACTAGAAATTATTAGACTTAGAACCAAGATACCTGTTATGTTATTCCATCCAAGATATAATTCTCGAAGCTTTGTCAAATTCCACATGTCTCTTGGCAAACTTCCTGTTAATACATATATGAACACAATCAGATAGCCTCATAACAGTGTAAAAGGATTAAATGATTCTGAATCAAGTATATATAGTCCAAGAATTGAATTAACATTACTAATTACCTGTGAGCTGATTATATGACAAGGAAAGGTAAATAAGTTGTGTGCATTGATTCAGCCCACTTGGGATTTGGCCTGCTAATTGATTTTTTGAGAGAAATAAACCTTGCAGATTTGGAAGCCTAGTACAAAATCCCCTTGGGAGATTCCCACTAATCCGATTAAATCCCAAATCAATGATCTTTAAGGAAGACACATTGGAAATGGAAAATGGAACATTTCCAAATAGATCATTTTCAGAAAGATCAAGAAGTTGAAGCCTTGTGAGAAATCCAAGGCTTTCTGGGATTTGACCAGTGAGATTATTCATTTGCAAAGACAAGAAGTTTAAACGCCTCAGACTCCCGATTTCATCGGGGATTTGGCCGTGGAAACTGTTGTTTCCAACATCCAACTTGTTAAGGAAGGAGAGGTTCCCAATTTCTATTGCTATTGAACCTCTAAATCCAAAGCTTGTGAGGACTAATGATGTCACTCTTTGATGCTTTTTACTGCAAGATATGCCTATCCAATTGCAAATGTGAGTTCCTTTTGTCCAGTTTTTTGACAATATTCCATTGGGGTCTGAAGTTATCTGTGCTTTGAAAGCTAAAAGAGAAGCCTCATCAGTTGAAATGTTCGATGCATTTGTAACTGAGAGGTATATTAACAAAACTAGGAATGCTATAATTATAGTCCTGGAAACCATTTTGTGCAACTTCTGTAGCAGCTATATATTTGTGTAGGGAATTAGGAAGTATCTGAGTTTTTCTTTTTCAAATGCCATCTATATATACTGTGTATACTTCTAATATATACGTAATATGTTTGAAACATTCTCTTTTTTTTTTTTTT